ATAAGGAAGCTTATAGTGATCCATAACTTCTGGGGCATATCTGAATCAATTACTGCTTGGAGTATTGCTACTTCTGCTGGACAGTATGTTTGATGTAGTCCATTGTAGTTTGCCCCAAATGATTTGGTTAAAATTCCTAGACAGCGAGACAGGTTGGTCAAAATGATCCAACAACTGGCTCATTTCTCTTTTTATTCTGGTAAACTTGCCAGTTATTCCAAAGGCTTTTAGCTCAATTTTCAGCAGGGAATCATGGTGTCAATGACCCTTAATGCTGTTTACTTTGTAATTCACAGCCTGGTTACTCAAAATCTTTTTTACAACCCTGGGGAGAATATGAATTAATTGAAAGTGTCTCTGCCAGGACCACATGGTGCATAAAGAAGACTGGGGTTCATACCAAATCTTTTATTTCATTTGTTTTTCTTGACTGTGATGAGGTAGGCTTTCTTTACTTAATGCTTGCTGATTTGCATAGAAACCAATCAGCATCTGTCAAGAGGGACAGAATTCTGAGTTTAACAAAGATGAGGATACTAACACAACACCAGACCAGATACGGCAATATTTCTTGGATTATCACAAAAGAAAGCAACAAGCCATGGGATATGTGGATGAAAAAGACCTTGAGGGAACAGAAGCAAAAGATTGGGAGGAAAAGATTGAAGAGGAACAGTTTGAGGCAGACAAGAAACCTGAAGTGCCAAGACATGTTAAATATGTAACAATGGTGAGCCAGTTTGCAATGTATGGATGTAAAATATTATTTTGTCTTAGTGGTGGGCTTTTTTCTGGAATCTAGTTAAAAGAGATGAAATTTTTAAACTAGTTTTCAAGGCTTAGAAAAAAGCAAAGTGAGAAAATAGAGACTAAATAATGAATCCTAGGCTGTTTTTATTATTTCTTTATGCACATTTACATTGTGTAACAGTCTCTTGATTACATCAAGTCTGAAACGCCACAACTTGAACCCCTAATGGAGACTAGCATCTAATTTCTCCTTGGCGTGCAATATCAGTCCTGGATCAAACACTAAGGTCACAAGGATAAAGGGAATGAAACCAATCAAAGAGGTTCTTGACTGGTAAACAAATTCTCCTTGTCACCACGTTAGGAAAGTTATAGAACAGTGTGGAGAATATGCATACTGATGTTAGGGTGCGAATGGTTAAAGTGGGTAAGTTTCTAAAGAAACTGTGGTGCTGTGTCAGTGGAAGGGTATAACAAAGTAATTTAGTATTATCAACTGGGTCAATAATACCAATAATACCAATAGAGTTTCAAAGCTGGCTATTTTGAGTGTTAGTCCTTTGTCAGAGCAGGCTAATACTGGATACATCAGCTTTGAAACTCTTAACACTGGCCAATTTACACTTAGCAACTCTGTGTTTCTTTTGCAAAATAGTATTGATATTAATACATCAAGATGGTTGCACTTGGGTTTGGAAAGATGGTTTTATTGCAAATTGTATGAAAGGATCTTTAATTAATGAATTTTTCTAAGGAATCCAGTATAAACTGGGTATGAAACCTGCATGGATTACTTTTTGTTATGTAGGTGCTGGAAAAGTGTGTACATTTCCTGTCATCAAAGTCTCCATGGCTACGTCTCTTAGTGCTGGATACAATTGACATTGGTGTTCAGGCCATTAGCCAGTCAGAAGACCAACTCCTTCCCATGATTCATCGCTTGTGGCCACCAATGGTTAAGAGATTCACAGATGATGAACAGGTAAATGAGATGGAAGTTTTTTCTCATTATTTTATTTGTTTCTATCCATTGTCTCCAACTCCTTGTTTGCAATTTTGCAAAAAGTGCCTTGTCAAAAGGGCAAAAACTGTCATACCATAATATGACAATTTTTTTTTTCCTCTTTCCCTCAAGTACAGACTTAATGGGTTAATATCAGTATCTGAGCAACTGCACGCTTACCCCTCCCTGAACCCAACATTAACACAATTTTTTTTATCAGTTGATTATCATTGGGTTAGGGGAAGGTTAGGTGCTCAGTTTCTCAGATACTGACATTGATCTGACTTTACCTACTTACTATGTGACCAAATCTGAAGAGCTAATGACTGTGTGCCGTTAATAACATGCACAAATTACCATGATTAAACAAGAAGTAAACTGTTTCATTTGTCTCCCACCTAACATTGCGTGTTCTTGTTGCAGGTGGTAACAATCAAGGCTGTTTCTGTTTTGTGCACCATGTGTGAAGCATCAGGAAGCTTTATGTACCGTCGAGTTATCAAGGACACCATTCCATCCATTATTGCTTTTCTTGATAAACAGGCGTCAGTGAGCCTAAAGGCCGGCCCAGTCTACTCTCAGTCTCAGTCATTCAAGCAGCAGCTGGCCATGTTGAAGAGCCTGGGTCGGTTGTGTAAACAGTTAGAAATTGGTGAAACAATGCTTTGTTCTGTAGTGTGGGTTTGTACCCAGTACCTCAGCTGCCGACAGCCTAAGCTACTTCAACAAGTATGTGATAAAAGCACAGAGCATAACCATGAGCAGAGCACAAGCTTGTTCCTATGTAACTGGTTAAAAAAAGGGGGCCCTGAACAGTAACCAATCACATCCATGTGGGAGGGTCACTTGACCACCAAACCCAGAGACTTGATTTGATGTGCAATATGCAAATGTAGCAATAGACCTTGACAGTGAAGTGTTACAATACTTCAACGTTGTAACAGTTTTGATACAATTTACTTGGTTACAAAAAATTGAATATTTCCTTTACAATATATCCTCCAAAAACTCATCCTACAGATGAGTGTTACAATACTTGAACATTGTAACAGTTCTGAAGCAATTTACTTGGTAACAAAAAATTGAATATTTCCTTTACAAGATATCCTCCCAAAACTCACCCTACATATAACAATCAAAATCACAGCTTTGTAACTTAGAAGACTTTTTAAAAGTAACAAATCTCTTATAAGTTGTTACCATTGTTTGACTTAATATCTACTGCGATTGTTCTTACAGGCAGCAGTTGATGCATTTACAGACTTTTCATCAGTTGATCCAGACTTAATCTGGCTGAGTTTGAATGACCTGTACTGCCCAGGAGAGCTTACTCCACCACATGAAACATTCCAGCCAGTCCTACTGGCAGGAGTTCTTCCACAATGCAAAGAATATGCTGAGAATGTAAACATGCTGTTATCCAGCCTGTAAATAGCAACAGTATCGTGGACTTTTTGTTGAACTGGTCTTGAACTTGTTCTGAGGAGCTAATGTTCTTGTTACAATTGTTGGAATCCCCCCTGTCCTCCCCTCCCCTCCCCTCTCGTTAATGTTGGTAACAGGAACATGAGACTCCCTGTAAAAAGCTTCACATTGAGACAACAGTAGGGTGTTTCAACAAAACTTGATGAGATTTAGAGTTTGCTTTAACAGCTATTGAAGTTTATTGTCCACGTTGTATTCAGATTTCTTTATTGTTAAATGTCCGCTCAGTAGAGTCAAGTTATTAAATCTTTCTTGGTTTTATAAATAGTTATTGTTTCTGCAAGACTAAGTCATGCCAAAGGTTCTTTGGTATCAAACAGCCTACAAATGATAACATGTAGTGTTCAGGTATATCTAGCAATAGATTTTGACTGTCTCATCCAACTTCTATCAGAGGATGTGTTTATTTTATCTACTGACCCTGCCTTGGACCCACACTAAAGTTCTTGTTTTGGCTTTGGCAGTCAAGTATTGATTGTTTCAGTAAGTACGTTGTCAATTATTGGTGACATTCTTCTGAACGTGTTTAGGTCAGTGTTCTGACAAATAATGCTTGATCTTTCAAGGTCAGTCGGCCAGCATACCCACTCATGCCGACCGATAGTAAATATAAAAGCGTGTGCTATACAGACTGTATAGAGTTCACAGTAAGAGAGTCGACCAGAGTTACTCAGCATAAGCATGAGTCGATCAGAGTCGATCTGTCAGTCAGTGTTAGAGGAGAGAGAAGGAGAATAAAAGAGGTAAAAAAAGAAGTAAAAGAAAATAAGTGAGAGAAATAAAGTGCTGTAGGTAGAATGTCTTAGAGGACGGAGAGTTCAGGAATAACGGGTCGAAAACGATTTAATTAGATATCACTTGGGTCCCACAGTCCCGCGTGATCGCCGAAGCACATGCTTTTTCTGTGTTTTGTGAGAACTGAATCTTGGGCCGAAGGAATGCCCTAAGTGACTATCATTTGTTGTTTTTTTTCCTTTCTGGAATGCCTCACAGAACTTGTCAAAACACTGAAATTGATTTTTTTGGAAACATTGTGACTTATTTCGTCATTTTTTTGTGTTAAGTTTTTTTAACGTTGGTTCACACGTGAAAATATCTGTGGGAGTTACGAAACAAGAGACATGGTATAAACATTCGTAAGAATCACTGATAATAATAATTGAATAATTATATAGCGCCTTATACATGTGAATATGACGCAATGCGCTTTTAATTAACCAAATTCGTAAACCTTACAATTAAAACTAATTAATTAAAAATTTGTTGTGAGCAGATCTCGCGATTATCGAAATTGATATCTCTAAATAATCTCGTACTTTTTATTTTAAAAACTATTAATAAAATGCTTTAAAAAGCAAAATATCGATTACAATTGTTAATTATTCAACGAACTGGAGGCGAATAGTACTTGCTAGTCCCTTCCAAACCAGCCAATCAGCGTGCGCAAAAAAGCACTATTCACCACTGTGGAATATATTAATAAAAGAGAATATAAAACAGTTTATAATCTCTTGACTAATATTATATATGATATATAGTAAAATATTTACAGGAAATAGGTAAGTACAAGAGATTATGATCCTTGTCAAGTAAATGTCCTAAAGAAATAATATAAATAGACCTCGCGGTCGATATCATCGTGAACTTAAAACAAATATAAGATGCAATAAATTCATAAACGATGATTAAAATATATAAAAAATGCCAAAATTTTGGATCAATTTACAAGACTCAGCAATTTGATATTCGTAAGTCCGAGATTAAAGAAGACTGCACAAGGACAAGTCAAGAGTCCCTAGCGAGCGTACGATCTTCAAATAAAGCCGGTTGGTTTCTTACCCGGCTATCGGAATAAACTAGTCAGTCTTGATTCATGTTAAAGCAAATCTTTTTGCAACATAATGTACACTTTTCTGACCAAGCTTGATCGGTCAAGATGGTTGGATATTGGCCTCGTTCTTTTTTTCTTTTTTGTTTTTGTTTGTTCTTATGGACCTCGACTTTGTCTCAGTTGATAAAAAAGCAGAAAAAACAAGACTTTGCCACTATCCAGCCATCTTGACCTCACGTTTAATGATTAACGCATATACACTGTTTCCCGGCCATTGAAAATATCAGCAGTTTGCAAAGGACTCATGCGTCAACCATACACTGCAGTTCCTGCATGTTTACGTAAATAAACCCTAAAAGTGAATTACTGTGCGGATGCTGCGAAAAAACAAACAAACAAACAATCAATAGGGACGTGACATAAATTCAGCATCAATATATAGTTCTTACGCCCAGTATCGTAAACAATTGATAGCGACTGTGTCAAATAGCTGTACAAACCTTTTGCCAGCATGCATGAGATCAAACGCCTCATTTATTTTGTCCAGCGGCATAGTGTGAGATATGATTTTATCCAGTTTCAATATTCCAGCTATATATTTCTCTGAAAGCTGCGTAATACCATCCTTTCCTTTAAACCCTGGTCGAAAGCGTTTAAAAAAGGTCAAAATGTTATTTAACAGGGACCGCGCAGCAAGTTTCCGAGTGGGGGGGCTAAAGAAGAATGCGTGAAGGAAAATTTTTTTGTTAAATTATTTTTTGTTAAATTTATTTTTATTCTTGCAAAAAAGTGGGGGGTTGAAGCCCCCCCAGCCCCTTCCTCTGCGCGGTCCCTGTTTAATGAACGATAATTTGATGTGGTGTCAAATGGACAGGCCCCACAATTCAATGATGCGTTTTGGGAGGCGAGCAGACAAATAGCACCATAATTGTCTCGTATGTGATTTTCAAGGGTCAAAAAATAAAATACAACTTGAGAAAAACTAATTTAAAATCACAGACAGAACGAAGATAGCAGACGAAGATATTCACTTTTCATATTTCAGTTTTCTTCATCTGGGGAGTATATAATCAGTGTTAGGTTATAACAAAAAGTCAGGAGCTTCAGCTTAGAATGCGAAACCAATTTTGAAACGGTTAGAAATAGATAACCTTGGTATCGTCGCAGCAAACCTGAAGTATTCTGAAGAACTACACACAAATGCCATTTTTCGGTGGCGGAGAATCTAAATGTTCTGAGTTTTGAGATTCATTCTACTCTCTACTTTTCTATGATCATAAATCTTACCTCCACAAAGAGTTCCTATAATGGTTCTTCCAAAAAAACAATCTCTCGGATTTATTTTAAGTTCTTCACCTTGAGGAGCTATTCCAACAAGCACAGTTGTACCAAGGATAGGGTGACTCGCTTCGAATGCAGCCCTCTACAGAAAAATGGAAAGACAAAAACTTCTGTCCAAGATAGATTTTTCAAAAAGAGTTTGATTGCCATGCTGGCTTTTTCTCGCCTCGAAGAGGTAGTAGTAAATACTGCAAATTAAAGAAAGATGTGTAACACCTGCCACAATGATGGGTTAGAGAAAGTTATGAGTGCTCCGAGATGATTCGAGCCCCAGCCATTTCCGTTTTCATAGCCGAATGCTTTCTCAACCGTGCTGCTGAGAATTCCAGGCTATTAATTCGATTTATATCTGACACACGTTCGGTAATGCCGGTCAAAGCAATGTTTGCCACAAGCATTGCGCAACAAAACGAAGTTTCTAAAAATGACGGAATCGAAGATAGTGTGACGGATTAAGGCGTCTGCTGGAGTGGCGCAAGCGCTGACTCTAAAAATTTATTCAGCGGACAATGAGCTAAAAAAAACTAACGCGATTGAATTGATTTTTAGTCGACTTGCGGTCAGTTTACACCATACACTTTCAAGCATTTGTCGACGAGTGCAATCAAGAGTTTCTATTTACCATTGTTTCAACGTTTCCAACACATTCAACTGAGTAATTCACTCCTCCTTCAGTCATTTCTTTCAAGACCTGCAAATTAAATTGATCATGACAGCTTAGAAACGGAATGTCCAAGGAAAAACGTCGTTAAAGGTTACGTTTGACTTAACTGCCAAGCAGAGTTTTGTAAGTGGTAAGCGACTGAAGGGTAAAAGGCGACAAAGAATAAATATTTACGTGACATAAATTCAACATCAAAATATAGTTTTTACGCCTGTGGAAAAATTGGTCTACCTGTTGTATAGGCTTGTCATGATCTTTAGGGTTGACGCATTCAGTGCAACCAAGTTCTTTAGCTGCAAGGAAAAACGCTGAAATGATTTGTAATTGACAACAACTTAAAGTAAAACTTCGTACGTACAAGAAGAAAAAAAAACAAAAAAATTCATCCAAGTCAGTTTAATTACGCATCCGTCCGATTTGTAATTTTAGAGGAGTTAAATTAAACATAACTCTTACAGCAGCGGCAAAAACATAAATTCCGCTTTCTGAAAATCTTCAAATCACTTATTTTCACATTTAATGCAAAAATTGTGAGTCCAATGTAAAATTGAAGTACACGCTATGTCGCTTACCAAGTTGGAATTTCTCCGGTTTAATATCAATACCAATAATTCTCGTGGCCCCAGCAGCCTTACACCCCATCACTGCGGAAAGTCCAACTCCACCCAGTCCCCACACAGCTGTGCTTGACCCAGGCTCAACCTTACGAGATAAATAATAAAAATGAGTTTTAAGTGGTTCACAGCAGACGCAGAGAAGCAATAGTCCATGCAGTTGTAAGACTTGTATGAGTTCCATCACCAAATTTCCCTTCTCCCCCCCCCTCTTCGTACTCCCCCTCCCCTCCTCCTTACATTTGGATTTTGAACGTCTCCGAGTTTGGGATTTTAGAGTTCAGGCCTAAGGGAAGGGAGGAGAAACAAACTCTCACTGGTTCCCAATCCTCAATGAACTTGCTCCTACTCGTTTTTCTTGCGCTATTGTATATCAAACAGTAACATGGAACAAATTGGAGCAGTTTTTGTCATCATCCTGCCAAAGCATAGAAAACAAAACCTGTCGCAACTCGATCAATTCTATTTTTAGCATGCGAGACCGATTGAAAGAATTCACATCAGTCAATTTTCTTTGGGCTGGTCGGCCAAAGTGATTACCTTAGGTTGCTGTATATAACACTCAATCGCAGAACGCTCTTAACACAAACCTTGGCTACATTGACAGCAGCACCGTATCCAGTTGGAACACAGCAACCTAGGAGACAAGCCTCTTTAAGAGGGACACTCTCAGCTATCTGTAAAAAAAATTGATCACTGGACGAAAAAACGGATTTGCACCATATTTGCGCAGCGCAAATGTCAGCAAATCTGGTCCAAAGCCGTAGCAAAAGTGATGTGTTGCAAATGGGGTAAATGCCACATTTGCTTTAGATTTATACGGGGGTAGCAAATCCTGGTACACACACCTTGGCAACAGCTATTTCTGGGAGGACAGCGTATTCGCTAAATGCACCGACTCCCAGAAGCTGACACAGCGGTTTCCCTCGGGACGTGGACCGTTTTGTACCATCAAGCATCTCACCTCTAATGCGCACTCCCCTGAAGCATTTTAAGCGGCAAATAATTGATTGGTAATTCAATGAAGATTATAACAGCATCTAACATAATTACGTCTTTCAGAAATTTTTGAGGGAAAACTTTCTATGAATTCAGGATCATTGCAAAGAAATCGTTGTGAATTTCCGAAACAAAACTCTTGGAGATCAAATGAGCTTGAAACTCTGGTGCGGGCTGTTTTTAAAATTGCCTAGCAACCTGGCCGCGTGCCTATGACGTCAAACTTCACTTTTATCCAAACTTATATCTCTTGACGATCTGTGAAAACAAAGACAGTCTTGACGTAAATAACGCTTGTGTGCAATAACAAGAAAGGCCATCAAAAATGGCGGCGCCATACACAGTCGAATACTTGTCACATTTGAACACAAAATTCTAACGATTGGCCTGGGTTCAAAATGTAGAAGATAAAAAATTTTCCGTATACTTTAACCATCAAGTCCTATGAGTGATCAAGACAGAATTTCTCCTTACAATAACATTACAATATCGAGCAGAAATAGTAATTAGGGGATTATCAGTTGATCCAATACCGGATTCTCTAGGCTATCATCATAGGAATTGTACGGCTGACAGTAAGGAGAATGACTCAGAAGATCTTGCGAGCGAAAGGGTTAATCAAACTGCGTTGCTCTCCCCTCCACCCCCACTGATTGCAGCAATATGCGAACGCATATCGCAGCAATCGCATCTAAAAGGATCTCAATGGTCTGACGGGTTTTTATGGCTGACGGTTAACTTTCTTCTTTAGCGAATAAAATAAAAAAAATTAGGTTAGTTTTTTTTTTACGACTAGCGGTTAAAATTTGTCATTTTTTCCCCTCTTAACGCCCAAATGTTTGGTCGTTTCACGGCTAACGGTTACCTCCCCATCGAGGTCATTACTTATAAATTGACTTTGGCAAAGATCGCAAACTTGCTCCCTGTGGGTGGGTTGGTAGAGTAATGTACCGCGAAATCGAAATACTTGTGCCTTGAATCCTCTTGGAGAACTCACATTTTTCTCTGTTCTATGGTATGGTATGGTATGGCGCCGTAAGAGAACACATCCAGTCCTTCGCGAAATTCTAACTACAATTACAAATTCATTTTTTTAATCGACTTCTTCCTCGACGTTGCCGTCCTGACTACTTAAGTTCCCTCATGATACACAACAAATTTGTCTCCACAAAAAATTCTACCTGACACAAAAATTAGTCCTTGAGTTCTTGCAAAATGCACACTCCCCGCATTGAGCAAGAAGCAGCGGTATCACATGATCACCTGTGAACAAGAGAGGATATTTAGCATTTCAGGTAAATATACCCAAGGTTATTCAGTTTTGAAGGCAAAAAAAGGGACCATCGAAGCGCTTCAAATTGTCTCCTTTGCACAGGCAAATTTTTGTTTGACATTTTTCACGGGAGCGCAAAAAGGTCGCAAGGCGGAAATCACTTGCGAAAATTGACGCTCTCTTCCTCAGGCCCTCGCGCCTACTTCCGCTCGCCTGATTTAGTCAAAAGAATGACGTTTGTTTTGCAGTTTTAAATTTCTTTCCTAGATATTTCTATTGTTTTGTAGTGTTCCACTGTAAACATGGTCGTGAGAAAACTAGGTACAAGAGTAGTGCATGTCGTACTCGTACTTTCAGGTGAGCACTTGCGAAAATCTTGAAACAATCAGAAATGATCAATTATCCACGGAACTGATGCTCAGAAATCCTTCCGCAGACTGTCATTTAGAACCATTATTCAACCGGCTTCATTTTCATTTCTCGATGGTACTCAAACCTGCATGTGCATCGTTAGGTAGTCTCTCGAAAGCTACTTGATTCTAGTAACATTTGATATAAATGCAATACCAGGCTTCACTGATCTGACTCCTTCACCAATACTTTCAATAATCCCACTTGCTTCGTGACCAAACACTCCTGGGAAAACGTCGTCTGAATGTCCCTTCCGGAAATTTTCGTCTGAGTGACATACACCAGCGGCCACGAGCTTGACGCGTACTTCTCCAACGTTAGGTGGAGCCACCTCGATGGTTTCTATGACAAGAGGTGTGTTGGCTTCCCAAGCTACAGCAGCGCGGCATGTAATAGGCTGTAAAAAGCACACAAACATAAACAATCAACAACTAATAGTAACTGAAATGATAGGAAAGTTCGCCTCGTTGTCGACATTTATTTTATAAAGCCACCCTCGGGTAGAAGCAAAATAGCTACTAATATGGAGGAAGACCCTTCTGATAGAGGTTGACGAAAATTTTCCCATCAAATGCCAAAAGTGAACCAGGAAATAGAAGTGATCAAACAAGTTACATTGAAGGACCTTATTATTAGGATCGGCAACAATAACTAACCAGGCAAGCAGAGTGTAGGCCTGTTCCGATTTTACTCGTAAAATACTGGAAAGTTACTGGAATACAGAAATGTTGTTAAAAAGTCGCTACCTAAATTTCAATAGTTGCCACCAAAATTTCTTGATATTTTTATATAAATGGAATGCCATTACGAAAGCCACTGAATACGTAACTTTCGGTTTTTCTTTCCGTATTTTGGTTTTCTTTCCCTTCTAGGAAAGTTTGAATGTAACTGTATGTAAGCCATACGGATTTTCAGTGATTTAGCAGCCATAATACGAGAAAATTCCGACAGACAACCATGAATTGAGAATGGTGAAGGCTTTGCCGTTCATTCATCAACCTGACCAAGTGGCGCGAAAGGCGAGTAACGTGTCAGCAGCTGATTGGCGATATCAAAGACGCGTGAAAAGATATCGTATTTTTTCACGTGTGCTGTTACGGTTTTTCTCAGGGCTGGAAATCCTTGTAAAACGCCGTAGTTTATATGATAAAGTGTGTTTCTTAATTACATTTCTAAATGTAAGTTTGAAGATGAAATGAACTAATTACTCATGTCTGATAGTAAAGGTAATAGTCACTGTGTTTGTATTAATGATTTTAATAGATTAAATTGTTGCCAATCAAAACATCGTGAAGAGAAATTCTTTTGCATGTTTTGTCTTCAGTGTTTTACAACACAAGAAATACTTGATAAACATAAACTTGTTAGTACTTGGATTAACAGGAAACAAACCACTAACTTACCACCACCAAATAGTTTTGTTGAATTTAAGATTTAAAAAGCTGATTGCACCTTTTGTTATTTTTGCATATCTTGCGAGCATTATTATACTATGTGAAGAGCATCACAAAGATAAAACTATGGGCTATACATGTTAAACACAAAAACATAAAATATCTAGTTATGGATATAAAGATGTTTGTAAATATGATGAGAAATATGCAGAAATTTGTAAGAGTCAAGATTTACAGAGGAGAAAACGCTTTTAACAAATTTCTAGAGGCAATTCTTAAGGAACAAAAGCTTTTAACAAAAATTATGAAAAACAGAAAAAATATTGGAATTATAAAAACAGAAGAAGATAAACCACTTTATGAAAAGACAAATATTTGTCATATATGCTTAAAAGAAATCAATGATAAAAAAGATAAAGTCAGGGATCTTTGCCATTTTTGCCAAAACCGGAGTTAAGTACCAGCTCCATGGGCCACCAGGGTCCGTATAAAAGCTTACTTACTTTACTTACATGATAGGTGGGGTGACCCGCCTAGGCGGGTTGCCCGGTCTGCCAGGTAGGGTAACCCTGTCAGCCGGGGTGACAATTTTCCATGTAAACGTGTCAAGGTGGGGTAACCCGCCTAGCCGGGGTCGCGTTCATGGCAAAAAGCTCAAAAGCGAAACATGTATGTTTTAAAACTTTTGCACATTTCCCAGCCGTCTCATGGCAGAAATCGCCAGAAACCGCAATGGACACACAAGAAGTGTAAACTGTTCACATTTCGGAATATTTAGCTTTGTAAATCGACCATATTTGGTTTCCCAAACTATTCCTTATAACGTATTAAGTCAACGGTTCCTCGAGAAACCAAACACCGCGTAACACAACGCCTGACGCTTTCATGAATAAATACATGTCTCCGAGAATTAATCTCTCGTCTTTTTCGACATGTGAGCTTGGAACGCCTCTGCTCAAACTCCCTAATTGCAAGCGCAAAAACAACCTCAAGAAACCTCACCTCAGCACCCCGGGGTTGTAAGATTGTATATAAACGCGTTTTATTTTTCGACCACGGCTAGGCGGGTTACCTCACCTACCTGGGGTCCCCCACCTCCATGTAAACAGGCCCTTATACGAGCCATTAAGGGAAGAGCTCAATAACCCACGTGCATACACAAGTCTTAAAATAGCGCACTTATTGCGCGCACCGTGATCTGTGTGATCTTGGATCACAAATCCTAATCCGGATCCTCCCAAAGGAACGCACCCTAAAATTTACATCCAGTTGCGTATGTGTTACTTGTTGTATTCCTAATGATTACTATTAAAATAAGTTCAACTAACAATCATTTTAGGGACGTTTCTTGTCTAGTTAGTGTTCGGTCGGCTCGATTTACAATAACCTGAAGTAGATGTTAGACACTAAGTTACCACTTACATTGTTATATTTTCTTTCCTTCTTCTCGACCATGTGTCAAATAGATTCTTTTCTCTCTTAAGACGAGCACGGACCATAAAACAGTCTTTTTTTTTAACAGTGCCGTTAAATATAGTCATTTCCTACTTATCACGGATATAAAGGGCTCATAGGTGATTTTTGTTTATAGACAGTATAAGCTCAGGTATGTGGGAAACTTGGAATCGAGCGCTTTCCGCCAAAAGTATGTACCGCAAGTCATTGCTATGTGAATGATAATATGTGTGAACGACGACGTTCAAAGCCTAAAAATCATATTTGTTATTGTGCTTGGTCTGTTGTTTCTTTTTAACGAAAACAACGTTGTAAGCGCCAAAAGCCATTTAAATTAATTTATCAAAACTGCTTTTCACTCTTGACAAAATCGGTATAAAGTAATAAATACTTACTAGACAGCAAGTCGCTTTGAGGCGCTAATTAATCGTCTTAGCAGAGAAAAGTTTATGTGCGTGGAACGCGTTATCGGTACTGAGTAATTTATGTTATTGTTACTGTGTGCTCCACAACGAAATTCATTTGCTTCGCACACTGCAAAAAGGGTTAATTCTACTTTCTCAATACTCTCGCGATTCCTTCCGTCAGCGATGGCAGAAACGAAAGCGCACAACGAAGTTTTTCACTATCTCCGCGATAACGAGTATCTCATCGATTTTTCGAAGATCAGAAAAGAAATTCACGTAAGAAAGTCCAACAATTCGTTCTGGAAGATGGTGTGCTGTTTTTCATAGGCCATAAAAACGGTCAGCTTAAAAGATGGGTTCACAGCCGAGACAAGCAGCAGCAGATCACTGAAAGCTTGTCACTTTGACAAACTCGCAGGGCACTTTGGCCGTGACATGACGAGAGAAAAGGTTTGCACCAGGCGGTGTGCGCACTCCGATTGCGTTGTATTATGGTAGCTTCATTTTCGAAATGATGGTGGAAGCAGCAGAAATCGGCAGATTTTGACTAAACATTCCGTAAAAGTTAGGCCGTTCCTTTTTCCTTTCACCATAGGTTAACGTAATTTGATTTATTCTGAATGTGTAAAAGTATTTTTTTTTACGTATTTGTCGCGTACTATATGGTTCTCAAGGACAAACGCAATCACAGTGACTGTTTTTTTGTATGTGATTTGAGACCGGATTTCGAGAAGGTCGAACGTGATGTACGTCGCAGTTTAGAGCCTTTTAAAGATTTGGATAGCCGCTTTGATCCCTCTTCAATAGCTTTGACCAAACGCTCTCGAACACTCTCCAACAGTACATGTGTTTTTCCTATTTTTTTCGTTTTCAAGTATACTGTCTCTCCTGAAGAAATAACTCGAGAGATACATTTCTCAAAACCTTATTCTAGGTATCCTCTATTCTTTAAGCATATTTGAAACTCTGTACGTTTTTTATTAAATGCCGAGCGTGACGAATTGGCCTTGGGAGGCGTAAGGCTTCTTTCGTGAATCCCGTATTTACGCCTTTAAGTGTAGGACATGAAAAATAGTTCGTGTATCAGAAGATCGCTGTCTCTTTGTAAGCCGGAAAGCAAAACTGAGGCAGTCGATTGTTAAAAGGTGTTGATAGGCTTGGGCGACTCCTGCCATTCGCGTGCGGTTTTAAATCTTCTGACCTGAAAGCTGAATTTCGTTTGCGATGTGATAATAAGAGTCATTTTTAAGGTGTCATTTCCCCAGCCGGATGAGATTTTGTTACAAAAGATAATATTTTCATGTATGCGCGCTATTTTTTGCTTTTTTTGTTCTCAGTTATACTGTCTCTCCTGAAGAAATAACTCCAGAGATACGTTTCTCAAAACCTTATTCTAGGTATTCTCTATTCTTTAAGCATCTTTTAAACTCTGTACTTTTTTTTAAATAAATGTTGAGCGTGACGAATTTGGTCCTAGCAGGCGTAAGGCTTCTCCTTTCGCGAATCCCGTATTTACGCCTTTAACATGAAAAATAGTTCGTGAATTAGAAGGTCGCTGCCTCTTTGGAATGCATTTGCACATCAAGGGTCGATTCCCCGTTAATAACTCGCGAATTTGATATTATTTACACAGCAATTGGCTGTGAGTGTAACTGCTGCTCTGCGTTGTCTGCAGACCGCCCGCCGTTAATAATCGTTAAAATTAGTAAATAAGATTGAGTTCGTTGTAATGGTCTCCACTTTGTTAAGAAGTAGGTATAAATGTTAATTTTCATTTGAAAATGAGCTGAGAGTTCCATTTATTGTGACAATTTCAATAGTTTGAATGAGATTTAATTTAAAAATATACCTTATCTTTCATATTTATATCGAAAATAGACCATGTACGCTAACTCATTTGCCTCGTCAAAATTTGCATTATTCCTGCAAATCTTTTTCTTTTGATCCAGCTGTGTCTCTCAGTTTTATTTAGAAGGCACGTAGCAATTTCTGGGGTAGAAAGGGACAGAAACACCAGAGAAATTGATCCAGTAAATTGATCAAAAGTTGCGAACTAAATTCTCCCCCTGCTTTTGCATAAATGATATGATCATCAAACCGTCAAGAGGGCACAAATTAACATATTGTAACACTCCTTTCCACTCGGAAGCGTCCTAGTCCGAAAATATTCATCAGAGTCACAAATTGAAGCGTACCAACATGCCGGACCCGCCAGAGACGATCTACGTACGTCTGATAACAGCAAACCCTTGATAACCTTAATTGCGAATGAACGCACCGATTGGCGTGTCGTGTTCTCGCAGCGCTAAATTCTCATTCTAAAACATGCACAAACTCGTGGCACAATTATTTTTTGATATTCTCGGCGCAGTGAAAAAGCCAAACCAATTTCGTTTCTCACCTTTCCAGCTGTTTCTGGCATCGTGTAAGATGGAAGAAATCACTAAACAAATAGGTGTCGGAAAATAAGGCAGCCTTTCAGTGGTGTCACATGACTGAACATAACCGACAATGACCTTTTAGACTAATGGCGAGCCAAGGAAGACAAAAGAAAATTAATTTCAAAATTATCTATCGAGTTCCAGTGATCGATATGTGACTTTGGGAAATCACTACATGAGAAATTGAAATCACTTTCCAAGAATGAAAAACTTCCATGCGAGATTTCAAATTACCCATCGAGAAGGAAAAAACATTACATAATATTACATTAATAATGGAGAAAAATACTGATGTAACAGTACACCGAGAAATAAATATTAACTGTTGAGAATGAGAAAGTGTTGCGAAAGGCTATGGGCAGAAGTTAATGGTGTCAGCTCAGCACTTTAAAAGGAATGTTTTTTTTCCTTGATCTTGAGAGGAGTGGAACTTTGGACTCACTGGAGTTACACCTGCTGTCTTAGCAATATGTTAATTTTCCTCGGATCAATGCCTCTCTACGTGAGTTTACAAGCCAGTGGAATTATCATGGTATTAGAACAGCAGGCCACCAAACCCCCCCCGGCAATGTGGTACAATGGATTACTCTCCTGCTCCTGAGGAATCAATTGTCACAAATTGGCAAACATAAGGAATTGATTATGACGGTCCATTGACTGATACTGAAACAAACAAAAATGTTTTTGTGCCAGAGTCACACAGCCAGCTTAATTTTGAAAAAGCGATGTAAATCCTTTCCTGACCTGGTGCAAGCATTGGCTTAACGAGCTTATTATGGACTGACATAAGGATTTCTATTCTATATGGCGAGGAAGGGTTTCTGCAAACGCCTCCATGATGGTGGTTTCAACTTGTACTTCGCTCATGGCTTTAAAAAATTGACATGCATTGAGAACATGGCCGTGCTAACTCAATGCCATCCTCTCTCCCTGTCGTGGTACAACATTGACTGTTAGGCCAGCGAGTAATATCAAATCGTACAAGAATGGAGTGTTTTCTTTCACTTGTGATCTTGACCTATTTGTCCTGCTGGAAGTACCGATTCGTCTCATGTTTATCATTCGTCTAAAACGCGAGGAACTTGCAGAACTTGCATTGTGATTGAGGCTCGAGCTTGGATTATGTTGTTTACCAATGCGATTACTGCACTATCTTACCCGACTCCAGCAATAAGGGTTGTGCCTAAACCCTATTGGCTAGAAGTACGCCTGAGGAGAACTAGTAACGAGTTTCCGAGTCGGGTGATTATCGGAAATTGTCGGCTATTCAAATATGGCGGACTATTCCAGTAGTACGGTTGTGGGTCGTGCTTTAATCCTACCGGTTCTTTCATGTAATGATGTTTATGTTATTTTCGGGTGATTATCGGAAATTGTCGGCTATTCAAATATGGCGGACTATTCCAGTAGTACGGTTGTGGGTCGTGCTTTAATCCTACCGGTTCTTTCATGTAATGATGTTTATGTTATTTTTGAGCCGCATTTTAAACAAAACCTGTCGCCAGGATTGACCTATTACTGCACGCCGCGCAGAAATCCGCCATGTTGGGACGAGAGTAAATTGGCGGCAATTTTTTACTGACCGACGCGGAAAATATTTTATAACTGTTGCGGTCTCGTCCCCAAAAACAACGTGCGTGACAGCCGATCACGTGCGCCCTAACAAGTTTCCCATGAATCGCCCGATAATTTATCATTTATCGCACGATAATTCCCATTTATTGCGCGATATTTTTATTTTGTCGCACGATCAATGAGATTTATTACAACCATTTTGAAATCACTGGTGATCCCTGTTATCTGATTCTGACTGGCTCTAATTGGTGTGATTTATTTACGAATCGCACCAACTTTTGCTTCAAATTGCATCTTTTTCTTAGCCAATGAGGAGGCTACACCAAAAACAAAACAACCAATCAGATTCCAAGGCGTGTTTAAAGTAACCGATCAAATTGCAAGAAAATGAAAGACAAAGAGTGTCATGTGGCAAATTTTGCAACTTTTATTTCCAAAACTCTTATTTTTTTCTCCCCCAAAAATGGATGATTTAATTTCAAACCGGCTCAGTACTGCATCAATAAAATATTTGAACTGACCAAGTCCTGTATTTAGGCGATTTCAAAATGGATGTAATAAAGTGGTAATTGAACCTCGTGTCGTGCAATTTTGGTCTGAAATCATACTTGCGCTCGTTTGCGCTCGTTTGATTTTGAAATCACGCATATGATTTCAGCCCAAATTGCACTCCACTCAGTTCAATTACCATTATTTATCGTGCGATGAAAAAAAATGTAGCATGTCCTTTATGGACCACCATACTTTATTGATTCACAGAGCTATGTGTCGTAGAAATATCGCAGAGTACTACTAAATGATCTTTTCACGAAAGTAAAACAAACTATTGTCCTCAAAACATACCTCCCAACTGTTGCCGCCATTGTCGTCCACGGAAACAACATGCGTGACAGCCGATTAAGTGCGACCTAGCAATAAGTTTTTTTCATTATCAATAAATAATGAATTTACTCACCATGTGAAATTAATTATTTATACACAAGTGGTTTGGTCAACTTAATGATTTGTAAATAAATGTTTTAGAGACAGACTGATTTTTAAATAATCAAAATTGTTTAATTCATTATTTACATATAATAACTTCTTCGGTTAAGACTGTTTATAACTCAGGATGTACCCACATAAATTATTTGCATATCATCGGACAAGTTTAGTGTCTTATTTATAAACAATTTTTGTAGCAGTTTTAATCGTTTATTAATAAGGGAAAAAAAGTGCAAATTCGTTATAAATTAATAATAAATTTACAACCGCCCTATATTAACCTACCTTTCACATCACATTTTTTTTTTAATGATGTATCACGGTAGAGGAAAATGATATTTCTTCTAGATGCTAAAGGAGAAAAAGCATATCATATCAAAAATCAGCTCCTGTTCAAAATATTTACAATAAAAAATATCGTTACGACGCCATCACTCAATATTCATCCCTCAGTTCGACGAGTACAAAAGTTTCCCCGTCCCTCCCCGGCCTCCCGTGATTGTCATTAGATTGTCGTTAGATCCCTTTGAACGTCGGGAAGGAACACAAAACGTTGTTCTTTCGAATTTGGAGGAAGAAGTGAAGCAGTGTGACTCATTTCTCTACTCAGTATGGCTAAACCAGGTAAGGGATACTCCATTCTTCCCCTTAAATTCTATGTGAGTCAGTTAAAGCTGGTTTTTTGGTTATTCTGTTGTATAGAGGTGTAGAAATGCTTTGAATGTAGCATCACACAATGTTTTGATGCAAACAGCAACAATTAATCCCATGGGTATTGAAACTGTAAGCAAAACTACTTGCAGCCTCTTGTGGTATTCAAGCTTCAAATCGTAGTTAGATCTTTTGGTGTTTAGAAATAGGGTGTTCATAAGAGACAGGATAATCTAATCTGACCACAAGAAAGGTGCAAAACTTAGGCGAACGAAATACGATATCTAAATTACGTAGTACGCAAATTTTGTGCTGTGTACTGCATCTCATGTTTATATATAGCTCTATATTGGAGGTTATATTTGGACCTTTAAATCGATATTTCCCATAAATGAAGCAGTATCTCGTTTTGTGCTACAAATTATAGAAAAGAAGGTTAAAAAAAGAAAGTTCATCGGTATAGCAACTGGTTTAAACAATCTAGATCTTCACTCGAATAAATTCACGAGAATGGTAATCGATTGAAAAGAATGATACTCTAAACACAACATAAATGTTACTTAATACATGCATTACTGAAATCTTTGATACGAAGACTTGCACCACGCCTTGAAACAGTACAAGTAAAAATACACTAATGAGAATAAGTGATAACACCACACAATGTCTTGTCTCCATTTTGCGGTGTTTTCGTGTTCGAATCAGTATCAACAGTGTATTGAGTTAAAATATCTAAAGTTTGATTCGTCATATGTGAGGTGTTATTCCATTTTTGTAGTCTTCAGTTTGATTGTTGTAACTATAGGCTTTGAGGTTGATAAATTACTTTTTGGTGAGGCATAAAAAAAGGGATTGACTGAAATGTGGCATGAATGTGGTAAATGAGTATTTTGCGTGGTACTCAAACGATCTGGTGGCATCAGAGTGGGCCTTAAACCATTCGGCAAAATCTAAATCAAAAGAATACAATTAGAGGTCTTATTTTAAAAACCTAACACAATATAATTTGTTTCCTGGATTTGAATTTTGGATGCACCCTTGCCATTCCTTTCTGTGTCGCAAAGGTGCAAGGAATTGATCACAAAATCGTCTTCCTGTTTCAATGATGTATATTTTTTTTTGCAATAAGTGCTAATTATGCAATAGATGACATTGATGGAGGTACACATGAAGTGATCAGTAATCTTAACAGATTGTTTGGGTTCAGATATTTTCTCAACATTCTGAATGAAAGGACAAGTTTTGCATCATGCCTGCATGCATTTGAAAGTTCCAGTTGATCAATAGTTTGTATTGATCTTCTGGCCATAGAGTTGCCCATGTTATGTAGTGCCAGTCTGGAAATCATTTTGAAGTTATTTAAAGTTTTTTAGAATGGTTGATTTAACAAATGATTGAGATGTTGAAATGTGAGGGTGAATGGAATTCAATCTGTTTTTTCCTTTTGTGACATTTACTTAAATGCCAGAAACAGGATAGCCACATTTTTCTAAAAGCTGACACATTGTGTCTGATATGTTGAAAAAACCAGATGTGATATCTCAGTCTTTCAGCTGAACATAGAAAACAAAAAACAGATTTTCAAGAGCATTAACTGGATAAACTTGTAAGAAACTGGTCCTGAGCCAGTTAGCTGTACTGACTGACACCTGTTGAGTAGTTTTAGTCTTCCCAGACTTGTGTTTGTGTTATTTCAGGGTAAAACTGCTGATGTTAATCCACTGCAGATCATGACTGACCACAATTTGACCCTGAATGATTTGTTCTTTCTACCCATTTTATTCATTGGCTTCCTTATTCTTGGGGTCTGTTTTGCATTCTGTTGTTATCTTTTGAGGTAAGTAATGGTTACATAGTTTAATATTTGTAGGCAAATCTTTGACAACAGGAATTTTTCTAATTGGACAGGGCTCTCCCAACTGCAAAATTACATGTAAACTAACCTCTACCCCCCTTGCACACTCCCTTTCACTCCCAAGATCTGATTGTTAATTCTCCTCACCAGGTGCTACACATTTCCTTTTAAATTCATCCCGAGAATTTGTTGTTAGATCAAGATAACTTGTGCTTGGGAGTGAGTGATTAGTTTGAGTATTCTCATAACCTTTTTGTAGGGTAATGTATGGATATTATTGGGAGAAGTTACATGTAAATCACTTTCAGGAGTGAAAAGGTTAAGGAAGTACATTTTTCCAGATTTATTCTTGCAGGGGTATTTTTTTTCTTTGCAAACTTTTTTCCTTTTTTTAAATGGGACAGTGAGTAAGGGGATAATTTTCAAGACTTCATGGGCAGGAGAAAGAAAATTTCCCTAAGAATAACTAAAATGGAACTACATGTATTACCTTACAAATTGAATTAAACCTTTAACTCCCAAAAGTGATTAATATGTAACTTCTCCCTATAATATCTAAACATTATACAGCAAACAGGTCATGAGAATATTCAAACTTATCAAGTAGAAGTTGTTATCTCCATCAAACACCAAATTTGTACCTAATTTGGGAGGAAATGTGCAGCAGCCAGAGGGGAGAATTGACAATCAGGTCTTAGGGTTTTAGGCTTTATTCAAATGTTGATATAGCTGTACATTTGGTTTACAAAGCTATTCAGATTTCAGTCAATAAACCCTGTGTATTATTAGTTTCATTGGTAACTAAAGAGATTCATTCTGCACATACTTATTCAGTGAAACTGGGCAATAGTTCAGAAGCAAGTTAAAGAAATTGAAACTAGATGATCCAATTTGTAACTGCACCTCATGTGCATGAATTATTATTGTTATTATTACACTCTTTTGATTTAATGCAATTTTAATGGCTTAATAATCCCTATATTGATTATTGTATATATTAAATTATATAGATTTATTTTCTAGTTTAGTTATTCATGCACACTTTTGTAATAAGCTTTCCTAACTCATCAGTGTTCTCCTGATTAAATATAGTCATCATCATCATCATCATCATCATCATTATTATTATTATTATAAGGACTTGCATTTTGCCTGTAAGTGAGTTTTGAATTAGCATCCCCATCTCTTTTCCTTGAGTAGACCTTGAAATAGACAACTCTTCACAGAGCCCATTGGTACAAGTGTTTATGGTTATGGAGCACATGAAGACTGTTTGTTTTAAAACCAAAACTAAAGTATTCACAATGGCCAATCAAAGGAAAGGAAAAAAATACAAGGAGCCAATGAGAACTTAAAGTGAACACTGAAACAAACTGTCTCAACGGCAGCAAATAGCAGTGACAAGGGCACAATAGGTTTTAGATTATGATTGGTCCATTGACTTAGTAGAGCCTGTTTTCTGCACCAGTCCTTCAGTGAAGTAAAGCAAAACCAAAGCCATCCCAGAATGCCTTTGATACTAATTTGAAAACTGCTCTAGTGGTAGAGGTTAAAGGAATCTGCATTGCAAGATTTAAGGAACATTCTCCTGTAGAGGTAGTCTGTGGTAGTGATATGTCATATGAAAATGATCATTCTTTTTTTTTTTTTAAAGGACAATGAGGGATGACTATGATATTGATGTAGAATCTCCCAGAAGAATCAGATATGATGGTTTGAGGCGGGTAAGTTACAGTCTGTTAGGTTTTAATTGAGATATTTGAAAGATCAGTCTTTATATATTAAGTATATAAGTTGCGTGGTGTCTCATGCCAGAATGTACATTAAGAGTATACCTCTCACAAACTGAGTCTCATCTGTACTGTTAGTGATGGAACAATTTTTTTCTGCAGAGATTTATGGCCCAGGAGTAGAGTGCATGAGTCATAAATCCCAGCAGAAAAAGAGAAATCACTTTCTTGTATTCTAAGTAGTACTGTCTATCAATTTTATTCTTTTCCATATGGCGCCTTCTCAAAATTTGATAACTGTAGAAAAAATGAACAAGATTTTGCTGCAGATACTTATCAACAGTTCTCATATTTTCGAGGGAATTCATAGATTTTGTTTTCACCACTTGGATTTTTTTATATTTTGATTCAAAGGGAAATTACAGGAAGAAATGGTTGAAGAAAGTTTCATTGAAAAGTGATGTAAGTCTATAAATTAAGATATTTGCCAGCTGGTGTCTGTATTATGGGGAAATGTGGCAAAGGGCTACAGGGGTATACTCAAGACAAATTATAACTAGTTAAAAATAAGTTAATTAGTTAAAATAGTTAAATTAAGTAGTTAAAATAAGTTGATTAATAAGTTTATTGATGTATTAATTAATACTTAATATGTAAGTACAGTGCATCATGTACACTCAAAGTAGCCTTCTTTTCTTGCTGTGTGCCTTGATGATCTGATAAATTTCCTTGTTACAATTAAATTTCCCTGGTCCTTTGGTTGTAGATGCAGGTTTTACATTTTCTCCAGAATTTCTTACAGTAGATTTATTTGTTACTAGACATGTGCAATTTGTTTGGATGATTTCCAACACAAAGAAGAAATAAGCATTTGTAGATGTGGCCATGCTTACCATCACAAGTGAGTCAATTTCAGTTTTTCCCTCATGTTCATAACTTCTTTTATTGTTCATTGAAGATTAGTACTCCTGATCCTCTATAATTTTACCTGGGTGTACTTTAAAGTGTAACCATTTCAATAGTCATACATGTTTTAAGTTTCACAATCATTATCCACTCTGATAGTTCACACACATTTGCTGTTTGAAATGTTCAGGTGTATAATGAAGTGGATGGAAATCAAAGAGACATGTCCCATATGTCAGAGGAACTGCAGACATGAAAATAACAATGGTGGTGAGAGAACCCCTCTACTGACAAATCCTTTGGATATATGAATGGACTGACTCCCATGTTTATCAAATGTAATGAGTACGACAAGTCAAAGTCATCCTGCACCAACACAACAGGCTCCAAAGTTAAATGTCTCTGACATAGGTAAACGACTGTTGCTGGTGACATTAAGGTTGACATGACTAACAATGTGAATGTGATCTTTAACAGTTATTTTTCCAAGAGTAAGCATAAGTTAATGAGTTGCTGGCCAACAAGGTACCTACCGCTGAATTGACTCTACTTATCTCTGTCCAAGGACAGAGAGTGCAATTAAATAGTCCTGTGACATTAACTCAAGGAAATATCTCAAAACTTTTCTGCAGACAATGTAAAAGGGTTATTTCTTTTTTCCACACCAGGACCATATTTTTGGGCTTCAGTAAATGAGATGAGGTACCATTACTTATAAACAAATCAAAGTGCTGGAATTGTAATACAATACATTTTAATTTTTTTTAACTATTTAATATATCTTACTAAGTAAGTTCAAGGTCAGCACTGTGTGTTTCAGACTAATTTTTTTCTGCTCTGAGTTAAAGCCCAAGCATAAGCATGCAGGCCTTAAATCTGAGCAGGAGAAACAAGGTACTGAAACTCATAGCACACACCTGGAAAACAAGGTTTAGAAGTTAGAAAGATATTTATTATTTCTCTTGGGTGAAACAGAGTAAGGAAGATTTCAGTTCAAACAAACTTTTGTGGGCAGTACAGTGAAACAAGGCCAGCTAAATTGACCAATCATGTTGCTCATTCTTACTGAGAAGTATAACATGGCCCACTAGATTGACCAATCGTGTTGCTCATACTAACTGAGAGATATAACATGTCCTACTAAATTGACCAATCATGTAGCTCATACTAACTGAGAGATGTGATAAAATTGTCATATATTTCCAGCTTTCAACTGATTTACAGACAAGCCTTGTGCTAAACTGTATGGCAGTACAATGAGTTTAAAATGTGTTTGCCCTTAGAAACGCAGGTTCTATTGTCTTCTAGCCATTCAATTAATGTTTATTGAAAAATTGGGTAAAAGGAAATAAAAAGAATCCTGTTATTAAAGTGGTCTGTAAGTGTACAAATAATATATATACTTAAAAATAATTATATGGAGTTTGCTAGATTTAATTTTTACATTTTATATGAATTTAATGAATTGTTTGTGATTCTAATGTCAAAAATTCAGCTTACAAGGAATACATAAGAAATAATGTTGAATTTTTTTTAGTGTAAATATCTGGTATTTTCAGTATCTACTATTAGCTATTTACTTACAGCATGTCTTTCAGTATGAAGTATTTGGGCCCTTTAACCCTACACTCCAAGGACTGACCAAAAATGAACTTCTCCTTTTAATATCAATACATTTTTGTGCAGATAGGTAAGGAGAAGTTAGCAAAATCTCAACTGGGAGATCTTTTTCGATTTAAACTCCAAATTCTTCTAGAAGAAATTTAGAGCAAATAGTTATGAGAATTGATAATTAAATCTTGGGAGTGAAACAGTTAAAAATTGTTTTCTTTTATACTACACATGACAATGTCCATAATTCAGGATACTGGACTGATAAAGTGAACCTCATTTCTGAGCTTTTTTGTTAGCACTATTATTTTGTACTTGGGTATGTGCTTGGGGTGGGAAAGTGAAGGAATTGACAGGGGGGACTGACATTGTGGCTTGGTGGGAAGAACAAAGGTTGATTTACAGTGTTAATTTTTATACAAATGTAATAAAGTTTCAGGCCAAGTGTGTCCATCCTCCAATGCTTCTGTTATTCAGTTTTTGAGGATGAAGGCACTCCTCTTAATGCAGCATGCAGGGTAATCCATAGCAGGCCTCCCCCTCCTTATCCTCAATCAATATATGGTCAGGTAGCAGTTCACTGTTACTAATCTGGAATGTCAGACAATTCACCCTCCAGCCAATTAGCCCCCAATTTCTAGACAATTCACCCCCAATGTGAAGACAACTTAATTATTGTAGAAAACATAGCTTTTGTCACAAAGTAATTATTTCTTGGAAGAAAAAGAAAGCTTGACTATTCAAGTTAACCAAAACCAAAATGATATACCGATTGTCAATCGCATTAACATAAGATGGTGCTTCGTGTTCAGTTCTTTGGTTTTAGATGCGAGAGAATGCGATTGCCATTTGTTAGACTTATAAATTTGACCGTAGATAATCTTGTTTCATCCACAATTGACACGAACAATTCAGTTGACTGGCTAGCTAGAGCAGTTGCGCTCTCTTTTTCTTTTGTAAATCAGTAACTTTGGTGTTTTCACATTGGGGATGAATTGTCTAAAAATTGAGGGCTAATTGTCCGGGCAAATTGTCCGAGGGGCAAATTGTCCAGATACCCTTATCTGTACCTGTGTTCTTAGGGGAGGCAGAATGCTTGAAAATTGTGGTTTCCTTAAAAGCAAGCAAGTATTCTTTAACTGGTGTCTCTCTTGTTGGTTTGGTTTATTAAGATACATAGAACATTCCTTTGTTTTCTGCATTTTCATTGATACTATCCAAACTTGATGTAAAGCTGACACCATTTAAATGGACTGAGAATGAAAGTAAGTATATCACATGCATGTACTACATGCCAGAGGGTACAAGAGATCTAACAGTTTTCCAAATACCTGCTTCACCTGCACTCTGGCTCTTCTTTCTAAGGATGTTGATCAGTCCTTAATTTATGACTAAATGATTTTAAATTTAAGAGTTTCTGATAGTGATGAGGTGACCTATTGGTTAGCATGCTGATAGGTTAAATGTACTTTTTTATTGCTGGCCATTTTGAGTGCACTGAAAGGAAAAAAGGCAATTGAGCCACAAGATGATTGAAAAAGGATCCTGATAAACCTGCTCCTTATAACAACTAATCTGAGACTGTCTGCTCCAAAAGGTGCTAAGCATTGTCGTCAGCAAAAGTTCCCCAAGTCTTCCTTGAACCACCTAACTTTCATAACAAGATTTCACATTCCCCCTTAAAGCCATTCTGTTGATGCAAGAATATGAAAAAATCAATTCTCAGAATGTATCAACACCCAGAACTGAAATGACATTCTGTGGGGTTTTAAGGTCTTTTTGATAGGTCATCAGGTGTATTAACATTGTAACATTTAAGGCCTAAGTAAGATAAAAGGTTAGTGTTTCAATGATAAATTCTATGTACTATTACAAAATTGGAAAATGAAAACACAGCCATTAAACTTACTGTTTTTTTTTGTCAGAACTCTGCAACTTAACAACAACTAACTAACTTACCAGTAGTTAAGACTTAAATTCTAGCATGCAGTGTTTTGTTCAGCTGTCCCAACGGACTGTGTTAATTTTAATGACCAAGTATTCACCGGAACAGTTAGGTTGAGTTTTACAACTGCTAAGGGAAGGAAAATGATGGCAGAAAATATATGAACTTTTTCACTTGCAGTATAAAGCCTTGTCAGAGAGGTGGATGCTGACCAAACATCAGCTGCCAAAGGCACATGTTAACCTTAACATTACTTAGTAAAATAATATTTCAATAAATATAGTTAGCAGCACCTGTGAGCAATATCAAAAGAATCCTGTGTTCTGATTGGCTGGAGGGACCATCTTGCCCATTAAACAAGAGAAAGTGTGAAGAGGACCAACAAAGTTTGTAAGTTTTTCACAATGTTGGTGATGAAGTTGTGTTTTTATGGACCTGGACTGTCTTAGTCTATAGAAACACACAAAAAAAAAGGACTTGGCCAACATTCAGTCAAGATGGCTGAACATTCAGCTCAAGATCACATGTGCTGTAATCTAAGAAATACAGGCATCCATGAGGATACCAAGTGATAAGTCAACAAAGTTTTCTGCTTGAGATCTTGTACTGATTTCAGGACAATATTCCACTGTCCAATACAAATGATCATTTACTGTGAAAATTTCATGTCCAGTGACAGAAGGCAGCTTTGCACTTTGTAAAGCAAGATATGCACCAGCAAATCTATGGGGAGATTTCATTTCTTGATCAATGGACAGAACTCCAAGATTTGTCAAGTTGAATAGTTCTTTCCTTTGTCCATATCTGGTTTCAGTACAAAATAACTCCCATATTGACTGTACATTCGCACATTGTATGAATTTCAAAACATTCATGTGCTTTCCTGAGTTGATTTTAAGGTGAATTTTTTCGGTGCATGTGCGAGAGAAATCCCAAAACTCCTCTGTTCCTGCAACTTCTAATTGAAGTGTGTCGGAACTTGCATACAGCCCAAACTCTTCTCTTCCAACTTGGGGCTTGCATTGTTTTCGGATGTCAACAGTATAATTACTGTCAAACAATAACGGGAGCTTTCGTTCAGTTTGCTCCAGGTCAATGATTTGTTTCATGGCTAAGTGAGTTGCTGCAGTAATAGCGCCATGCACTGTACAACCATTGGCCTTACAGCAACTTACTAAAGCCATTGTTTGTTCTTTAGTTAAGCATCGAGGTATTGCGTGCGTGGTCCGTGCCTGTGAATCACGAACATTTGGAGGAAACTTTAATAAATATAAATTTGCCATCTTGGGTTTGCGAATCATAGCGCTTAGCTTACTGAACCACACGAACAGCGGAATATGAAGTCTTTCCAAGATATTTGGTTCAGTTAGATTCAATGTCATGCGCTCGAGTGTTGGACGAAACGCTAGAGTTTCAACTTTCATAGCCTTCCCGTTGTACAGTGCGCCTAGGAATTGCAGCAGTTTGTTTTTAAATTCAAACACAGATCGAGCATCGCAAATAATATGATGGAAAGTAAACAACAATGAATTTTTGTAGAGAATTCCTTCACCTTTACGTGCAGTAGTCTCCCTGAGTAGTGTTACACGCCACAAAGGCCCTTTCTCAGTGTGAAATGGTGCACAATTGATATGTTCGTCAAACGCACTCATCCAGTTTTCTGAATCTACGTCCATTCTTATTTGAAATTCCAAACTTTGCGGGTCTTCCATCTCTTCAAAATATGGCTGGTTCAAATGATCAACTGTTACACGCATTCGTAATAAAGGGAATCGTTCGGACAACATCAGCAGGGCCGTCTTCAGATGCCCTACATCAAGTTTTATCCTCGATTCCAGCAGGAGCACAGTGTTAAGATAGCCAATGTTACTTCCGGAGGCACTCGCTAAGAAGTATTCTTCAAAGGAACCAAGTCGACGAGAAAGCTTTCCAGTTGTTGTGTAAAAAATTTCGTCATCCCTCCGATGCAACAGATGGTGACGAATCAGGCACGCAATGCCCACTGCAAGAACGACTGAACAACATAAAACAAGAGGTGAAAGCGACGGGAACACTGAGATTAACATCGTCAACGATCCCATTTGAATCTCGGGTGAGACCTAATTTAGCAGTTAGAAGCGAAATAGTTTTTAACCCCCCTGATATGATTTAGCGTGGTATGTCACACCATTTAGAGGTCATAAGATACCAGGAAATCCTCATCATTTGAAGCAATCTCGAGCCCAGGGTCATTTTGGCTCCTTGTCAGCGGAATGGTCAAATTGACATTGACAACCAATTGACATTTACATTTCGGTGAGCATACCGCTGACAAGGAGCCTAAATGACCCTGAGCTCGAGATTGAATTTCGAGATACAATTTCGGCGGACCTGAAATAATTAGTAATTCAATAGGCCGTATTTCGAATTGTTTTAGTGAAAACGTCTGTTGACTATTTACGAGCACTAAGTCAAGGGTTATTCAGAGCGACTGTATGTAAAAAACGCTTAAACCTCAATTATTTTATGCAAGTTTCCAGTTGAAGAGCGTACTTTGGTGGCTCAGAAGAAGGTGGCAAACGGGGAGTTCCAATCACACATCACGCTGAATTTTTCTAAATCACGCATCACGGAAAAAATTTTTTTTAACCAATCACACGTCACATGAAAAGGAGTAAGTACGCTAAGCTAATACTGTAAGATTTAAATCTATAACGGATGCATAATT